TTGTCATCTCCATCATTCTTCCTTTTCCTCCACCCCTTCCTTTCAGATTTCTGAGTTAGATTGTAAGCTTTTTGAGAGCAGGAACTATTTTTCTTTTATGTATTTGTATTGACAGTGCTTAGCATAGTGCCTGGCACATAGAGGGTGTTTAATAAATGTTTGTTGAATGATTATCAGGATGATTTTGTACAAGTCACTTAGATCTCTAGCTCTTGGTTTCCTCATCTGTAAAATAAGGAGGTTGGACTAAACCTTTAAAGTCACTTCCATCCCTAAATCTGTGAAGCTATGTGATCTTGGCATTCTGTGAACAATACTGGAAGAATACCAGCATGAAAAACATGGACCTTTGTTTCAGTGGCCTATTAAAATGTTAGTTTAGTAAATTTTCTTGAATATTCAACTGAGATGTGTGTATCTATGTCTATATACCCAAGCAGATTGCAAGCTACTTGAGAACAGGACTATTCTGTATTTTATTTCTAGTTCCTAGGAGAGTGCTATATATATAGTGTGCTCTTAATAAATGATAAAACCAAACAAAAGTTGGTATAAATTGGTTCCAAATTTAAACTTTAAGCACACCCAAATTCTCAGGCTTTATTCATCTGTTATAACCCAAGGGCATTACAGCCTGAATGTGCGTGGCTTTTCCCCAGAATGCATTTTCCCAAGTTGATCCCAGAGCTATAACTTAACTTGATGGAAAGAGGGGGATTTTTGGATGGGATGGAATGGGATGCCTTTGTCATCCTTTCTCGAAGCTCAGACACCACACTTCCTTCCCTACATTTGGTTTCCATTTGGTTTCAGTGACCTCTTCAAAATGCAAACGTTATTCATTAAGATACAACTGACATTGGACGGTTTATATCCACTGAATCAATTCTTGGAATATTTGCAACAGGATGTGGGCCCCCAGCTTACCACTAATACCAGTGGGCTTCATGGTTTCCTCATGCCAAGGGTACATGTCAGGCTGCTTAGCAGCATTCTAACTTCATCCCTCAGGAATTCTGAATCACCCACACTGCTCATGAGGAAAAGAAGATACAAACATGGTGTCCAGAAACACGTTCTTGGCCTGAAACTGTCTTTGGGGCTCATTCCATACTCAGATTACCTAACCTTTCATGTCTAAAACAATGAAAGGTAATTATGACCACCCCCCCCCCCAGCTAAAGAGTCATAGCAAAGAGAAAAGTGGAGGTCTTCTGTTGATTGTATCCAATATATTCTGTCTTTACATATGTTACCTCATTTGGTCCTCACCACAACCCTGTAAGGTAGGTACTATTTTACAGATGTGGAAACTGAGACTGAGAGAGGGTAAGTGCCTTGCCCAGGATCACATAGCAGGCAATTAAGTTTGTTTTGTTTGGTTTGTTGACTAATTGGACAAAATGGATTTTTAAATCATCTTGCTTACTGTGATTTCCTCTTGGTTTTGGCAAGAAATAAAGATAAGAATAATCCATTTCTGACCTCATGATAAGAGAATTAAGATGAAAGATGTAAATAGAGAACTAGGAAAAAAAAATTTTCTGAGACAGTTGGAGTAGAGTAGATGATGGGGAAGGACTGATTTGCTTGGAAATTAAAATTGTCTGAGATCATGAGATCATCACAGAATCATATGTTTAGAGTTTTATGGGAGTTAGAAATATGAGGAAATGGAGGTTGAATTAGTAAGGTAAATTGTTCAAAGTCACCATGTGACCTGATTATTTTAGGTAACATGATTGTCTGTAACAGCATTAGTTATTACAGTGTTCAATCTCCCCTATGCCAATTGGTATTGAAAGATAATCTCCCTTGTTTTACTAGTGTCTCATGCATAATAGGTGCTTAAGAAATACAATATTTGGGGGCAACTAGGTGGCACAGTGGATAGAGCACCGGCCCTGAAGTCAGGAGGACCTGAGTTCAAATCCGGCCTCAGACCAAACACTTGACACGTACTAGCTGTGTGAACTTGGGCAAGTCACTTAACCCCAATTGCCTTACCAAAAAAAAAAAAAAAAAAGAAATACAATATTTGCTGTGTGAATTTGTCATAGTCATAATCCACTCACCTAGGGATCCCCCAGTGCTACCTTCCTATCTCTCACCTCTTCAAACTGGGCTATGAGTCTATAGCACAGGGTGCTGGTATACTGTCTGAGCCAATAAAGGAAATTGCTTCTGCTTCAAGAATCTGAGGAAATGTATATAACATCACTTCAGGTAGTAGGGATTTCTTCTCAAGCTTCCATCTTAATCGTGAACATTTACAGAATACTTTAAGGTTTTGCAAAGGACATTACATATGTTATCTCATTTGGTCCTTACCACAACCCTGTAAAGTAGGTCCTATTTTACAGATGTGGAAACTGAGACTGAGGGAGAGTAAGTGCCTTGCCCAAGATCACATAGCTAATAAGTGATTACATCAGCATTCAAACTCAGGTCTTTTTGATTCCCAATTGAGAAATTCTATTAAGGATACCACTTATCTCTCTTTATTTCCCTGAGGAGCCTTCTAGGGCCCTAGGCTCTGGAGTTGAGGCTTGAGGAGGAGGGGGTGGATGGATACCACTATTCTTCCTGGGCATAATGTGGAAAGCACAGTCCTTTAGACTGAATTTGCATTGAAGAAGTATGCAGATGAGAATAGGGGTGGCAGAAAACAAACAGATGAGAGGTTCTGAACCCTTCTGGGATCACTGACCCCTCTTAACAGTCTGGTGAAACCCATAAACCTTTTCTCAGAATGTTTTTGAAGGCACTGAATAAAATTCATGGGATTATAAAGAAAAACAGTTATACCAAAATACAGTTATCAAAATATATTTTTTAAAAAGTTCACAGACCCCAGGTTAAGAACCTGTGAACCAGATAATGAGGTCCCAGAGCCTATACTTCTAAATGATGTAATCCTGCACAGTGCCACACTGACAGTAATCCTAGAAAGTACAGGACATGTATTTGTCAAAATCAGTATGTTAATTTGCTTATTTGCAATTGATACATATAATCCTCCAGGTCTACCCACAAAGAATTATACAGGCATAAGGGATATACATGCTCTTAAAAAATACTTATGTGTATATATGTTTATGTACATACACATATATAGAAGACATATATGCATACATATAGAAGATATATAGGAATGTGTGTGTACATACATATACACACACACACACACACACACACACAGAGAAAAATCCTCAAAGATTGTGCCAGACTCCTTCCTAAAGTAAACCACTGCTTAGATCAGTCTGCCACATTTTGAGACAGTTGGCACCAGAGGACCTACATTAGCCAACTTGCCTTTCTCCACTTGCAGAAAGCCAGTCTTCTCATGGGTGCCAGTTTCTTCTTAGCCATTAACTGAATGAAACCAGGATGCCAAATCAGAAAATGTGACAGCTATGTGAAGGAAGCCCTCAGTAGAAGGAATTCCATCTAGGATTCCTATAACTCACCCAGTTGTCTGTGCCTCAATGACAACTCCGGTTACAGCCTGTTATTATGCCGTTGATAACAAAACATCAGCTATCTACATGGCACCACAATTTGAATATCTCTTCTTATCAAGGGCATGACATGCTGGCAACACTGGCTTGCTATGGAGTTTTGAAGCAATGAATGACTTCATGCACCATTAAAATAGACATAACATGGATAATGACATAGCTTAAGTTCTGGAGACTCCAGTTTTCAGAAATTTTATTGTTGGAGGTGACCCTCTTAATTCAACAGTGGCATCTCAAAGCAGAATCTGAGTTTGAAGAGTTAGGAAGGAGGCCTTTCAATTCCATAAAGACTCCCTTCATGCCAGAGGTCTTAAGAAGAAAAACAACATGGCCTACATGCCCCTTTCCATCAGAGACATGGCTTAAAACCTTCTGGGGGGAAAAACAATATAACTTGCTGGCAAAGTACTGCCCATTACTTCCCTCCACCAAATTAATATTTCCCCCTGCAGGAAACTTTGGAGCAGAGGACATATTTAATCTACTGTGCCTCTGGATTCTTCTGTGCTAGGATGTTATTAGACCTATTTTTTCTTTCTTCCTTATAAGAGCAGTAATCATTCCCTCATCTACGAGGGAAATATATAATCCAGCTGTGGCCTTTATAGTAAAAACACAACATCTGTTGATCATTGGTAACACTGGTCTAAAGGCAGCTAAAATCTGGACAGATTTAGGCGTTTTAAGACCCAAGTAGCACATGTAGCAATCCTATCTTGCATAACTTTTTTGAGCTGGCATTTGAACTTTGCCAAAAAGGGATTGCCTTGAACCCAGTTAGATGAAGTGCATAGAATATCCAAGCCCTAGGGCAGAGACTCTTTTAATATCATCCCCAAATTTTAGCAGTTCTAAGCTGTGGCCTGCCTGGGCCATTTTATAAGCTCTATGTTTCCCTCTTTGGTGTGCCCTTTTTCATATGACACCAGCAAAGGGGAGGTGAAGCTCAGGGCTTCCAATGGCATCCAGACATTCAGCTCAGTGAGATGGCATTCTACTCTAGCGGTTTGGGGAGCCACATACTTTTTTCCTTTAGCTAAGAGAATGGCAGAGAAGTAAAATCACCATTTAATTCAGTTTCCCCACCCTCGGAGTCCATAAAGCAAAGATATTCTTGGGCACGGCATGAGAACATTTTTGGATCCGTTCCATTCTTTCCCCTCCCCGCTCTCATCAGTCCTTAAATAAAGCATCTCATTTCTAACCCCTATACAAATCACTCAATTCACCTCATTCAAACCCCCAGTCCCAAGCACACTTCAGTTTTACATGGGTGCATACAGAGAGAAAAATGCATGTGGTGACCTTTATGCACACGTCTAAAGAAAAAGGTAAAGCAAGCCCTTGCAAACTTCTTTTTTCAAGAGCATGCCAATATAGCTACTGTGCTGGAATGCTTCTCCCACTTCCCCAACCCCCAAACTCTGGGTCCCCCTCCATTGCCAGACAATAGAGCAAGTAAAATGAAACCAGACTTACAGCTATGGCTTGCAGCCTTTCCTTGTGCAATTCTGCCTCCGCCATCCTAGAGAAGAGGACACTGGAAGGGGGAGAAAAAAAAGGGGGGAGGGGGAACACCGCAGTCACCAAGAGAAACTGAGTTGCACCGCAGGGTATTTTTGCACCGAGCCAGGCACTGCTGCAAGGGGAAGCCCCAGGCCCCTTCACAAGCACCGCAGTCGACTACCAAGCTTACGGGAAGCTCATTTTCGTCACTGGACCGTCGCCTCCATGCCTGTCTCCCAGCTGTACTGCTAACTGCATTTCAACACGGCTTCTGTGTTCCGATGCTGTCACACAAGCCATGGATGTGGGCTGAGAGCAGCTGAGCAGAAGGATAGCTTGCATGGCTAGGATGATTTTTTTTTTTTTTTGCCCTGACGTCTCAGCTTATTTGCTCCTCCTCTAGGGTGTTGGGTCACGACAGGAGTTGAACATCAAGAGAACGCATAGTAATCAGAACCTGCATGAATGCAGGGGAATGAGACAGCTGTAGGATTGCAAGTCTCTGATGAAGTGTGGGGGCCGGGGGGTGGGAATGGGGGCGAGAATGGAACGCGCTAGACAAATTCCTTTGAAAGGGATTCTGTTTTTTTTAAAAAATGGCTTATTTGGGAATGAAACTGCAGTCGGGGACAAATAACGGGGAACATAACGGGTGGTTATTGCTATACAAGGGACATTAGGACGCAGCAGTTGGTGTACGAAAATGTAACACTGGGCTTAACTTCATAGGAGGAATGTAGCTGGGTCTATTCTGGGTATGGATGGATTGAGGAGTGCTACACAACTAGGGTGGGGTGGGGTGGGGTGAGGGGATCCTGTCTGTGAAGGATCCCTCGGGCTGAAGAGTCAGCTTCCTTGCAATCGTTGATGGGATGTATGTTGTATATTGTATGTTGTATGTATGTATGTTGCAGCCCTGTGGACTTTGCAGCAGACAGCAATGGCTTAAATCTACCCTCCTTGGCTTTGTATAAATTTGCTCTTAGGAGGTTCATGGTGTTTGTTGTGTTTACTCTCCTTCCTCAGTAGTAGTTACCTGGGCTTTAAAGTCAAGCGGGTTTCTGGATGCCTTTCCCTCAGGCCGCCCAAGACTGTGCCCCTCAGCCCTGCTTTTCCAACTGTCCCAAGTAAGGTTTAACGTTTATGGTTGTAGAAAATTTGGGCCACTTAAACCCTAATAGTCCACACCAAAAACTATTCCTCAGCAGTGTCCAAAAGAATACTGGGCTCAACCCAACAAAATTATTGACTTAGTGTTTACCTAAGGCTTGGAAAGAGCGAAGGGTGCAAAGTTCGGGAGTTTACCGGGCACACATGTCCTGAGATACAAGTTCTCTGGCAAGTCTAATACTGCACCCAAGAGAAAAAACCCTTGGCTAATTTGATTGATTGATTTTGGGGGGGGGGTTTTTTTTTTTCTCTGTGTCATTTGTTATTTAGGCAAATCTTTATCATAATTTGCTTTTATTGTCACCCAAAGCTCCTGTCTTCAGCTTTTGAAATGTTTTATTTCACACGGGCTGCGCTACCTCCTCTCCCGCCCCCCCAACAGTCTGCCTCCCAGCTTTCAATACACTACTTCCACGTGTCCACTTCTTAGAATCTCTAGTTTCCTTCAAAGTTTAGCTCGAGTATCACCTTCTATACCAGGCCTCTCAGATCCCTCCCGCTTGTTGTGCCCTTCCCCAGTACTTTGCATTTAAGCTACTAAAACTTAAAATGGCTTTAAGACTTTTGGGACAACTTGTATGTTGTCTCCAGTTGTTGTTTGTTTTTCATTCCTGAAGAGGACCATGACATCAGGGAAGTGATGCCATGACATGCAAGTGAAATTGGATTTAAATGAGGGAGGCCTGTGCAAAGTCACCAGCCTCACTTTCTCCTCTGGAGCCTCTGGGTCCCCTCGTCAGATATAGATCAGGATGACTGGAGATGGCCCCAGATGCAGTGGGAGATTTTGGCCTTTTTAAGCTAAAGTCTTTCCCAGGTCTCAGTTTGAGACAATCCCATTCAGTGATTAAGGCTGGGTAAGAAATGAGGCAGAGAATGACCTAGTCAAAAGAAAAAAAAAATCAATCTGGGAGGGGAAGATCCTCAGGGTTTAGAAACAATTACTATTTACATTCACTCTACTGCATCTGGGGCCATCTCCAACCATCCTGATCCATATCTTGCCTGGGACCCAAATGGCTCTGGAGGAGAAAGTGAGGCTGGTGACTTTGCACAGCCCTCCCTCACTTAAATCCAATTTCATTTGCATGCCATGGCTTCACCTCCCTGATGTCATGGTCTTCTTCAAGAACAAGGACAAACAATGACCTCTGTGAGTAGAAAGAGGAGCTGCCCCACTGGGGACCCAACTGGAACTAGCCAGTTGGGCAACACAACTCTTTTCTTTCCTTTCCTTTCCTTTTTCTTTTCTTTTTCTCTGTCCACTGGACCCAGATGGCTCCAGAGGAGAAAGTGAGGCTGGTGACTTTGCACAGCCCTCCCTCATTTAAATCCAATTCACTTGCATGTCATAGCATCATATCCCTGATGTTGTCTCCTACAATAGCAGGCAAAGCAGAGACTATTTCGTTTTTTATCTTTGTACCCCCACCACTTTGCATAGTGACTGGCCCATAATAGGTGTCTAATATATGCTTGTTGATTGATTATTAATAAGTGGGGATAGATATTATTAGTAGGTACTAATCAACTGTAATAAATAACTGAGAGGATGTCCTAGTGGGGGGTGGAGGGGGCAAGAAAGAGCCTTTGAGAGAGTAGTTTTGGAATTGGTAACTTCTAAATTTTGTTGAGTATGATTTATTACAAATAAAATGAGAGCAGGCCTTGGGTTTAAATGAATAAATTAACAGCCCCAAATATAAATGCTTGTAGTCTTTTTAACCTCTAACACAGACAAGGTTATTCTAGGCAAATAGATAGATTATCTGGTATTCTTAGAATACTTCCATGACAGGACTCTGTTATCTTAGTCTTGGAGCCCCTGAAAAACCATCCCAGCATTTCCTGCCTGATGTTTCTAATTCCATCTTGCAAATCAACACTTTTATTCTATAATCCATTTGTTAGTCATGGTTACCATGGTTTATTAATACTTCTCACAGTTTGGGGGTGTGGGATAAGACTTACCATAAAAAAACTTCTGACTAGCTTAATTGCAAGCAATGGTCTTAAAACTACCAGCATTTACTATAGGCAAAATTACTAATTTTTTTTTGCAAAGCATCAAGTGTGTATTTTTGTTTGAACATAAATATACATGTAACATATATTAAATAATTCATATTTATATAACACTTTCAGATTTGCAAAGCATTTTCATCCCAACAACTTTGTGATGTATGTTGCACCAGAGGCCTATCTAGAGTATTGGTGTGCTAGTGCCATAGGGCACTGAATTTATTTACTTATATTTAAATCAAAGGTGTTTTTTTAATTAACAGAAAGCAATTTTCTCTCCCAATCCACCTCCATCCCACTAGAAAAAAAGAAAAATAAATTCCTTGTAACAAATATGCATAGTCAAACAAAATAAATTCCCTTATTGACCTCATTCAAAAAATCTCATTCTGCCCCCTGAATCTATCACTTCTCTAAGTAAAATTAAGAAGCCCTAAGAAGTTTGTCTTCGGGCCTGTATATACCAATGTATTAATAGCAGCACTTTTTGTGGGAGCAAAATCTGGAAACAGGAGAGATGCTTATTAATTTTGGAATGGCTAAGCAAGTTGTGGCAGTACTGAGCCATAAGAAATTATGATTAGGAAGAATTCAGAGTAGCATGGGAAGACTTATCTGAACCAGAGCAGAAAGAAAAAAGTAAAACCAAGAGATCAACATATACAATGCCTACAACAATGTAAAGGGAAAAAACAACACACAAAAAAATATGACCACTATATGATTATAACGACCAAGGTTGGCCCTAAGAAAAGATGAGAAAATCTCTTCCTCATCAGTCTTTGCTGAGGTAGGGGACTATGGTGTAGAATACCCATATTCTTTATTACAATGATGGCCTACTGGGGAGGGGAGGGGAAGGAATATATATTTGAAAATGAAGGTGATATTAATAAAAATCAATAAAAATTACAAATTAAAAAGAGAAAGCAGAATTCATAAAAAACAAAAATTCAGTTCCCCACCCCGCCATTTTTTTTTTTTACTCTTTCATTCTTACACATACTATCTACCCCTAGAAGGTCTCTGCCCACCCATTGTCTAAATTGTGGCTCTCCAAGACCTGTTAGGTCAGGCTTCACTTTCCTCCCTTCTCAATCTTGATTCTAGATACAGGGCTTCCTAATCTCTTTTTGTGTCATGGATCCCTTTGGCAATCTGGTGAAGCATATAGATGCCTTCTCGGAATAATATTTTAAACGCATGAAACAAAATACATAGAATTACGAAAACTCATGATATTGAGATGCAGTTATCAAAATTTTTTAAGAGTTCATGGACCCAGATTAAGAAACTCCATGTAGTTAACCAATTCAACTTTCCCCTAAAGCTAGATCTTCCTCCATTCCAAACTATAGGCTATTGAGTTTGACTTTGATTCCAGGGAAAATTATATAATTATTATTAAAGAGACAGCTAACATTCAGAAAGGGAAGCAGTGATTACAAAGGGCTAGCATGGCTTCAGCAAGAGCAAGTCGTGTGAGACTAACCTCAGTTCTTTCTTTGACAGAATACTAAGTTAGTAGATAAGAAGAGTTCTGTGGATATAATTTACCTAGATTTCAGCAAAGCAAAAAAGAAAAAAAAATCTCATTCTATTCTTTTTTTTAATATATTTTTAAAAGGAATAGCATGTTGTACATAATAGATTTGCAGTTTCATGTACAATCATCTTTTTTTTTTTATTCTACTATGTTATGAAAATGCTTGTTTTATTTCTTAAGTTCAGAATAAAATAAATTGAATAAAAAAAAAAAAGAAATTCAGGCCATGAGAGAAAGTTGGCACTCCCCTTCACTGTTTTGCCATGCAATATCTCATAAGCTCATGGCTTTACAGAGGAGTAGACCTCTAGACTGAATTTTTTCAGAGGTTAGCCAAGGACCCTATCTCTATAACAGAACCAGAGTGGTCCATGGTATGAAGTAGGTTCTCTCTTCTCCCTTTGCTCACTTTTTGTGCCTCTTTAAGCCTTGATCAGTTATAATGCTCAAAGATGCTGAAGTATTGAGCAAAGTGTAGAGTTAAGAGATAACTCTTACTTCCTCAACAGTCATTGACATAGAATCTCAGGGAATTGTGGAAAATTGGTGAAAAAACTCATGAGAGATGAAACCTTTCCTGTATTATAAGGATAAGT